CGTTTACAACCGCACCCAGGACCTTTTCACCACCCATGGGATGCTTGGCCTGCCCTAGCGGGGGTGGGATCCCGGCCCAATCCTGGGGGGCACTGGAAGTTGGGGGGGGTCTCGATCCCGGTCTGATCCTGGGGGTGCTGGAGGGGCAGGGGTCCCAATCCTACCCAGATCCAGGGGAGATGGAGGCCCCAATCTAGGCCCGATCCTAAGGAAGGTCCCTTGATCCTGGGAGAGGTGGGTCTCTCAATTCGGGCGTGATCCTGGGGGCTGGCACGGAGTCAGGGGTTGCGGCCCCAGGGCTAGGCACTGTCCAAACAATAAAGACTCCTGCCCCACCCCACCCCCGACAGGTCCTGTCTGTTTCTCAGGGCAGGGGGCAGGTGGATGACGTAATTGCCATGGAGACTGGGGAGGGGGCGTGGCCTGCCCCAGCCGGGGTTGCCAGGGTGACGGGCCCTGGCCCAAATAATCATATGGGCCCGTGCGGCCACCAGCGCTAGGGAATGATGTCAACGTAACATCGGCGACATCGCCCCCAGCAGTGAGGTCGTTATCACCTCATAGCCGCCATCCCGTGAAAGTTGCACCCCTATGGCAACAGCCAGGTGACGTGGCAGACGACCTCTCCCATAGACGCGTGGCTCCGTGAGGTCATGCAAGCCCTCCGTGACGTCACGAGGGGCCACAGTGACCTCACCCTCCACCATGCCGCCCCTCCCCTTTAATCGACCTGCGCCTTTAAGACGCCACTGACGCCGCGTCAACGGCGGATACTTTCTGACGACCGACCCCCGCCCCCACGTGCCCTTCCCTTGGGGGCCCATCCCTTTAACAACCCTTGTTCCCGCCTTACTGCCCTTTAACAACCCCCCACCGTGTTTATTCCCTGCCGACATTTTCCTCAAACACCTCCCCTTGAAGATCGGCGGAGGTCGGACCCTACCCACTTCCATCAGGGTCGGGGTTATCTCCTCCTACTTCCGGTGAGGGGGCTGGCAGGGGTGCGGCCAACGGCCGGGACTGTCTCCTCCCACTTCCAGTGGATGCTGGGAGGGGCGTGCCCAGCGGGCCCAGACGGGGTTGTACCTGCTATTCCGGCGGGTTCCGGAAGGGGCGGGGCCCACGGGCAGAGGTGGGGCGGGGCCAAGATGGCGGAGCTGGACCTGCTGGGCTCCATCCTCAGCGCTATGGAGCGGCCGCCGGGGCTGGGCGACCAGGAGGCGCGGCGCCGGGCCAGGGGTCAGGGGTCGCGGCGGGGGCGGACTGCGGGGGCCGGGCTCTAAGTACTACCA